TTTTTTTTTTTTTTTTTTTTTTTTTTACAGCGCACTTATTTAATCAGTCCTCACAGTTCCATTTTATTTCATATATATATATATATAAACCCTTTGTGAGAATTTCTGTTCTTTATTCAGATATTTTGCAGCAGTGATTCCAATCCTATTCTGTTTTTCTCACCGATGAAATAAGTCATCTTATTTTTGTGAACTTTTTTTTTTTTTTCACTCATTACAGATCAACTTCTTCCAAGACCATACAAAGATCATTCTATGTCCAGTGATGGGCGCTGTCACATACATTGATGAGAAGAGAGAGTTCCGCACATTTAAGTCCTGTTTAATTGAGAAGCATGGGTGCAGCAAGGAGTTGGCAAGTCGTTTGCGTTATGCACGTACCATGATTGAACGCCTTATATCATCCAAGTCTGCCACAGGCAAAGCCCGATCTACCTCTAGTCAGAGGACAACATAGGAACAGCGCACCTAAATTGGGGAAAAAGCTTTTTTGGTGTCAGAATCCAGTGCTTATCATTAAATATGAAGTTGAGAAATTAAAAACTGAGCTTAATGGATGCAGTTTATTTCAGCTGGATGACAGTTTTATAATGCCAGAGGTGTCTTGAGATTTTATGACCTTTTCGTCATTTTTGCTAGATTAGGTTGTGATCTCATGGGTTACTTAATTGTGTCTGCAGGATTAAATCTTTTGGCTAAACAGCAGGCACTTGCCAAAATGGAAAGTGGCCCCATAGAATAGGTAAGGATTTTGAATATAAGTTACCAAGCCAAACTTAGGTAGATAATGATTCACATTAGTGTTTTAATCCTGGTTGTTTTTCACCAGAAACTGCAGACTGCACCCTTGTTCATTTGAACATGTAAATTCATGTTGTAGGGGCTTGCATAAAGTCATTTGTAGACGAATTGTTTGTGTGAAAGTTTAAACAGTAAATTTTGAATAATGGACAGTGGGGGGAATTTGCAAAGCTGCTTGTTTTCTGAAATGTTTGGGATAAGCATATAAGCTCTCGTAGTTTTAGGGAATTATTGTTCATTAATAAATGCTATGTACATCACATTTTGAGTAATTCATCATGAAGTTCTGTAAGTCAGCATGGGTCTAAGCAGTTTTCTTCTAGGGCTTAGAGTTATTGATTTTTTTTTCGTACTGCAAAATGGATGTTCCGCTTGCAATGATGATCAACCTGTCTTAAACATGTTTAGGTTATTAATGTGTACTTGTGATCAATGACGTGTACAGTGGATGAAAGTATGATTCTGATGTTTCAAAGGAAAGGCTTGAGAAAAGTGACAATTGACAAGCTTTCAAGCTTTGGTTAATGCCATTAAGTTGAACATTGAGTTTTTGTGGAAATACCCTGATATTTAATAAATGCATTTATGAATTATAATAGGAAGAGATCCGCACTCTGAGTATTTGTCTTGCATTTGAAAGACTTTACCCCCCCCCCCCCCTTTTGATAAGGTCACATTTGCCAATATTATTTTTTACAGTTATAAATTTCAAGATGGATTGATGCATTTCAAGTGATTTGGTTTTATATTCTTAACATGATAATAGCAGAGATCTATATAAAATACCCTGGTTTCCAGGTCTTTCAAATATTTATACATTAATAATATAAATATTGTCAAATTATCAAGTAGGGAAAGTCTTACATTATGAGACTTCTTTTTCAAGGTGTTGTTTACATTCTTTATTCTGTCATAATTAACATGTATATTGCATTAAAAATGGATGTAAATAAAACTTGTATAAAATTTGAGACTTCGGTTGCTTTATAAATAACTCGAATGAGGACATTTCAAATGTTTTATGCCAGATTTGGTTGCGTCTACATTCAGCTGACGCCACAGAAAACCAGCACGCGCTATAGTTTATACTGAAAGTTGATGCTGGGTTGTATTCAGTTGCAGAGAAACTTGATTAGCTCTCCACGAAATCGTTTGATTAATTTTAAACCTATTCCCTTTGGGTTCAGGATCAACAGCATACCCTGCCCATGATTTTGTCTTCCCTCATATTTATGTGACTAGGTCGTTTTTGTGAGAGATATCTTCAGTCTCATAAATCGCTCCTAGACGTAGATTCCTGAAGAGACTATTCGTATGATTTATATTGTCTGAATTTTTAATTTCCTGTAATAAAATACTTAGTGCTTCAAAAGCCATGTTACAGGTAATAACTTTGAGGATTTTTTTTTCTTTTACTCTCTACAATGCCCCAAGTTTCAGTACAGTAATATGACACGTATGTACTCTGCGCCCTCGTAATGACCATTTCACCGAAAAAGAGTAAATTTAAAATATATATATATTGAATTTTTGAAAATTTTATTGAATCGTTCATTTTAAGAAATTAATAAAGAATTATCACGTTACTTAAGATTCCCTTCATTGAGGAAGCACACATCACAATTGATAAGAATCATAATATTTTGGTTCTAACAAAACGCTATAAAGGATATATTTTAAAATGTTTTAACAAAGAAAAATTTTTTCAACCACCCCAGTACAAAAAAAAAAAAAAAAAAAAAATCAGGGTTAAAATGGGGCGATGAAAATATTTAGAAACAAAGGATGTTGTACACATATAGCAGACAGAGTAACGATTTGTAATCGTTTGTAACGATCTTCTGTTGGTAGAATTTCTCAATGAGGTTTCCGTAAAATATTAAATTTATCATGATACATATAATATTCAAAACTATTTTAGGGAATGTTTTATGAGATATGAATCCCTTGAATCTCATGTGTGTGTGGGCATAAGTGTAATTCATATTAATTAAGTACAAGAAGAAGAAAAATACAATTATTATCAAGATAAAACAAGATATAAATAGCTTAAATATTCCATATAATGGAATATACTTACTTGCGGCATTCACGTTTGTTTCTCTTAAGTAATATTTTGTGACATTCTTATTAGGATAGCGACAACAGTCCTACAAACCAAGCTTGATAAACATATTTTAATAGAAAAAGTACAGGAAACAATCAATGTCTCTCCTTGTCTGTAGTGACTGTCTGGCAAAAAGTTATCGAAGTGGGCGCTCCATTGGTCGTCTCTTTGAACTCTTGGACTATTACGCCGAAGTGTTATCTTGTTGTTTCCTTTGTGCATACCTTACTGGCTGCATCCCAATTAAATCCATTTTGCCAGAAAAGACTTTTTTCTAAGAAAATCAATGAAGTTTGCACCGGCCGGTAGGCCTACCACATTCCCATGAGACACTCCGTAATGGAAGATGTGGTTTCAAATCAAACTTTGATAATTGATAAGAAGAACCATTTTATTTTCAGATATGGTAACGGTTTAAGAACTGTTTTTCAGCACCCTCCTCGCGCAGAACCACATAACTGCTACAAGTACAAGGAACCCGACGACGCCGCCGAGAACGCATAGGATAATGACGGTGAGTCCCTGGTCGTCCTCTTGAGAGCCACTCACCCCGTTATTCTGGTTTCTTGCAACAGTTCCCCCTGCTGCGGCGGATGCTCCACCTTTGGCTTCCACTGAAAGAAAAAAAATAATAAATCGCTGTACTGCAACAATTTTACCTTTTTACATTTGCTTTGATATAAAAAACGAAAAAATTAAAGGGCAATATGAACGGAAAGCGCTTTATTTCTATGAACTGGCAAACCAAGACAAAGAATACAGAGTGTACGATGCTAATTTATGCAAGACAAGAATTGACATTGAAGGTATATGGAACATAACTTCTGCGTCCTGTATTCTGAATGCGATTCTCCAATTGTAGCCGAACATACTGATAAGACTGATTCCTGGGCCGTCACAGTTGGATTATTTTGTTAATCTTGCTTGCGATGATAATATTAATCAAAACTTTTTTTATCGGAGTTTGAACAAATAGTCTTTCGATATGAACCTTGCAAAAAACTTACACCATTCGCCACTGTGCAGGGATTACAAGGTTTATTTATTGTTTTAGATTAGTGTAAGAAATACTTTATATGATAATCACGAAGCAAGACTTGGTGACATATGGTGTTTTGCTTTCTATCACCAACTGAGGGAGGTCAGTGGAATGGTTCCAAGTCTTTGGCACAGATAAATGTATCAATCACATAAATCTACGGTTTTCATTGCAATCTTTACAGTGACCAAATGTTCTTTGTTGAAGCAAATGACATTGTTGAAACATAATTTGACAAAGTGAATCTTTAATCAAGATTCAAGATTTCATACATACAGTCTCATCAAGCTTCAATACAAGTGGTCTCATCAACTTATACTTAATAAATTAATACGGACGTGTTATACCGAATCTTAATTATCCGTTACATTTCGTTTACTGAAAGTAATTTTTATTAATAATAATTTGGCCTGAAAATAACGCATGTCATAGAATGCAGTAATAATCAGAATAATTGGTATTTGCGCGTTTCTGGCCTTGAAGAATGTCTCCATTTGCAGGTTGGAACACATCCAAGAATTATATAGAGTGGATGTCAAGAACAATAAGACACGTAAATATCAGTGCCGGCTCCAGATATCCAGGTTGTTGACAGCCTTCCATTCGGGCTGATAATCTTCCAACGTCCATTCAGAAATCAAATTATCCACTATGCCTACGATGCATCTTTCAAGAGATTTCTGATCTTCTGTACCCGTCCTTGAACTGGCTTGGTTTATATTAAATATACCTTTTTTTCTACTATCCATAACAAGAATAAAGATTTTTGTTGCCATAATGTAATTTCAGAAGATGGAAGAACGCCATTGAATAAAGCGCTGGTTGGTTTCGGGCAAAAGTGAATTCGGAGAGACCATTCGATGAAAGTATGAACATGATATAAAACCAAATATCGACATGTATCAATTTATGTTATATATGTGCTTTTATAATTTTTACAACCCTCTATCTCGATCATTCCGATGGCAGATAGCAGAGCTGCCATATCTGATTGTTTTCTGCGAACTGTGAGAACACGTCATGTTCTGATCAGGCTGTAGGTTGCAGCGCATTTGGGAATTGAGACAGTAGGTTATGGCGTTTAGAAAAGCTGGGGTCATTTTAAGCAGTTAACAGACATTTTTTCATGATGACCAAAACAATTGCTCACGCGTCTTTCCTGACAAAAAATTAAAAGACACACGACAACAATTAATATCAGTCAGTTATGCTCGGTTAACGATCAATTCGAGATCGTCTACTGCTTGATAAAGCGTCCCGCGGGAGAACTAAGTAGAGATAAAACCTGGTGATTAATTATGAGAACGCTACAAGATTCAAGCTAAGAATTCTTAAGTTATATTATTGACATTATCTTGAATCATTTGAATTCAATGTGCTACGACCGAGATAACAAGAAATACGTTATAGTTGGCATTTTCCTTTGAAATTGCAGAGCATCATTTTTGTCGGGTCACACTAGGATCCAGTAATAACGTTTCAGTATACTGGATCCTTAGGTCACAGCATAAAGACAATATCAATAGTATGGACCCAAATGAACGTTGTCAGGACTTCATACGCAAGTGTACAAGAAGCGTGTCTTTGAGGAAAGTGTACATTTCCTACTAATATCAGAAATGACACAGCAACATTGAAAAGGGTTTCATTATAGACTTGACGTCAGGCTATGACCATCAGAGTGCCAGACCTGGATAGGTGTTGCTTAATTCAGGTCGGCCGTAGTTTAATTTAGGTTAGGTTAGGCAACTACTAAAGCTTATGAATATTAGTAACAGCTTTTCGTAGGGGATGGGTACGCAAGGTTAATTTCAGCGAGAGTCACAAAACCCAGTTGCATTCCTTTATCTAGTCCTTTTAATGCAAATTCCATTAGGCCTATCAATTATCTTGTCTCTCGATCTATGCAGATACATCTGGTTTGTGACAAGAAATAAAACAGGGTAAAACATCCTGCTTGCTGTAACTAGCAAATTAGGACTTTTTTCAATGTTACCTATAACAAGTGAAAAACTATTCAAATCTAATAATCTTATTATCTTAAATCAATGCACTTTTTACATGAATAAGGTATTTCCATCTGAATCCCGCTTGGTTTATTTTCTTTGTTCTCTTCCTTTGTCTTCTTTCTTTCTTCCCTTGTCTTTATTAATAAATGAGCACACATTGTTGGGTAAAAGAAAGCCTCTTAAAAACAAAACTCCAACTTAATTTTGGTCAGCCATTGTGTAATATTGCACAAACTGAACGGATTTTAAACATTACAGTATTACCTGCCGCAAACATAACAAAAGCGTTACAACAATTTAAGCTTTAAGTGAACAAGAAGCATATCTCTTTGCTCAGTACTACTGAAATTTTGGTTGAACAACCTCATTTTGAAATTGAGAAAGAAAAAAAGTAAAAATCGTCTAGTTTGAAAGACGACATCAAAACCCTACCTGTTTTAAGAAAACATTCCAGATATATAAGGACAAATCCACAGAAAGCACTAAAAAGATCTTCACAACTTGCCATCTTGATTTCTATTTACGGCGATTCGTTCTATATGTATCGTTCTTCAAATTAACAGAACTACACTTAATGGTACGGCTACCGGAATTCCAGCGTCGATTTAAATATCACTATTTACCACTGTTTCCCTCAATTTCCCGAGAATAACGGTAATCACTTTAGAAAATTAGCTGACAGCTCGCGCACTTGAGACTATCATTGCTGCGCGTGTCGTCCGTAGCGCTATCTTTAGTCGGCAACTTCCCTATCGCCAACTATGTCTGTTCTCTGGGCAGGCAGATTTGTTTCCCCTAGAGTCGGTAGCCATTTACAGGAACGGGTTGTTCAAGGAAATCAATAATCGCTAAGCACGACCCCATGGCGGAAGCCTGTAGAAGACTCTCTCATGATAAGCTAACATCATCAGTGTCCAAGGAATAAAAAAGAACAGCAAATTACCAGGGAGTTATTATATTGAATACATAAATTATGGTTATTTTGGCATTTAATCTGGTTACTGTATAATATGTAATACCCAGAACCTAACATTCTTTTTCAAATATGAGATGAAAAGCAGGCTTAATCAAACGCCATATAGAGTAAATTAAGTCACATTAATCTTTGGCCACGAGGAGAAATTATTGTGGCAGAACGATACATTGAAAGTCACAACGGCATAAATTGACATTCCCAATTTGATTAAGCGAAGAAACTTGGCGGTCACAGCATCAAAATGTCGCCGCAATCAATAATCACTTATTACCTCTGGAAATTACCTTTTTTCGTCATTCTTATTAGATTTTCGCTCATAATCCATTTCTCCGTGTAAAATTTTTCTTGCACGACACAATCTACTGATCGAAAAGTACGGCATACTCGGCACATCAATTTAGTTGATAACAGCAGTATAGCGCATTGGCCTATGATATCCCTAGGTAACATGTAATACCACGTAAAGGAACGAGCCAGAAAGCGATCATAGCGGGACAAAGCAATATTGAGATTAAATATTTTGCTCCACTGGGAGGAAGGATCCTGTCATTGCTCGGCTTGGGTGTTAACAGACCAATGGTCTCCATGGCCGTGAAACGCATGTATCATCACAGGGACTGGCAAGGTGCCTAACAGCTCACCCGAGTTTAGCGCATCTCTTTAAAATGATGGTACATGTAGCCAATAGAGCACCAAATATCCCACAAAAAGTTCATCAGCTGGGTGTTTTGAAGTTTTCATTTTAAAAAGCTAATATTAGGCTTCGTATAAGATAACTTAACGGTGTCATAATAGTTTGATATATTTTTTTTCACGTCGGTCACTTCAAGCTAGTTTCCAAAGAGAGAGTTGAAAGTTGGTCTTAAAAAAGAAAAAACAAACAAACAAACAAACAGAAGAAAACAAGTATGGTCCACTGCAATCCAACAAAGTGTGCATGCAGAGACTATGACATGAGGGTTGTTTTCGTAAATAAATGTAGATTGCCGGCTAATACACACAAACGCACACAAAAAAACAGAGATGAAGAGATATATATATATAGACACGAGTATCGGAATTGCGATTAAATCCGTTTTAACCATGCACATCCTGCCAAAAACTCGCCTACTTTGGATAATTATATATTCTTTTCGAGTTCTAAAAGAATATGTCGCGTTTACAATTTGCATCTTTCGAATTTACTATCTTTCAGTGAAATGGGCTTCCTTTGTGCCACCATTGCATCATCTTAAATCGGCTGATCTTTATCAAAACCACGCCTTTATATAGATGTTGAACAAACTCGGAGCTTTTTGAATATGCAATAAATAAATAAAAAACTATATAATGCAAAATAATAACATAATACTAAAATACAAAGAATACCCCCTTTCAAAATTCGAAAACAATACAACACCATTATTATTATTATTGTAATCTTAACATAAATAGGGGCAGAGAACGTGTCTTAACGGTTGATACAAAATGAATAAAGACGTGCGCGGAAAAATATTTCTTGTTATACTAGCTGACGATGGAAAGCACCTCATTATTGGAGTATCTTTAAATAACAAGAATATAAATCACAAACACCACTATATATTACGATGCAGGGGTGGATCGAGGATTATTTGAAGGGGGTCCGGTTTTAAAGAATGACAGACAGCGAATGCGAAGCCGACCCTGCAAGGGGTTCGGGGCCCGCTGAAGGGCCCCGAAAATATTTGGTATTTTAGAAGCCGAACGATGCCATTTGGCGTGGTTTAAAACAAGTCACATTTTTAATTTCAAGAGGAGATCACTGGTGTGATTCTTTTTTCAGAAATTGAAGGGGGGGGGGGGGTCAGGAACCCCCTTGACACCCCCCCTAAATCCGCCCCTGTGATGGTGCAATATTTGCACCCCTCACTTATTCTTGATTACACATTTTGAAATATTTTTAAAAATAACAACGACAACAAAGCATTGAAAACTTTCTACATTTTTGGTCTTTCAAGATCACGACCTACTTGCTTAATTGCAAATTCATGATCGACTTTCACAGACAACATGATCAATTTTTATAGCAACTTATGGCAAAATTAATACAAATAATGATTGTCTTATCACTACGTCACAGCAATATAATTCTGGGGAAATCCTCTCTTACCAAAACAATGACAAAACTGGATATAAAACCATGTTTTATGGTCTATAGTGGGAGAGTAAATTGCACAATGAACATCTAGAAATGACAGTCAATGCCAGTTAGAGTCAACTATAACATAAGACACACAGTACAATTGACCTGTTACACATCTATCGCACTAATTCAGTTCATTTACCTTAATTTAATCAAACCACATGGGCTTGCAACTTGAAATATATATTTGAATTGTGCAAATTACTTCTACATTGATAATTTGGGAATAATAATTAACAATTTCTGTCCACGTTTATATATAACTCTTTATGTATAGTGGCTAGCAGTTCTTAACGGAAATATAAATACAATTTTCCTGGCTTTCTCAGCAGTTTTGCAGCACTTGTAGAACGTCAGTTTATCGACTTCTTAAATCATAAAGACCATATAATAACATCTTTTTTCTTGCCAAGTTAAAGCTAAGTGGAAGGTTACATGTATTCTTTACATTTCACTTCACAATTCACATAGAAATACAGTTTTTGGGCTACAGAACAAAGTCCATTATTTGAAAAACGAATTAAGCATGCCACCGATGTATACATGCAGGGGATCTTACATAAACACAGATGATACAGTACAACATAAATCACATAAAGGTCACCTTGAGTTAATTTTTTTCTGACATGACAACAACATCAATGTTATTCAAGGTCTTGTTTTCAAGTCCAAGGAAGGAAATTGGAAAATGCTGCAGTGCCGATTAATACATACACCATGAAGTAGGACAGAAGGAGTTTATGGCCTGCACTGTTCTTTTGCCAGTTTTGTATCTCTGTTGACACAAGTTCTAAGAGATTACTCTGCAACAGATCTCCACTTTCCTGAGTAGTATGCTGCTGATTTCTTTTGATAACATCCCATCTGTTTACCATTGCATATTTAGAAGAGTTGGCAGTGGTGACTGCAGCTGCATACCAGTAAATCAAAGGGCAGGAGGAAGCCAGCAATCTTGTTATAACCTGTTGTTGACAAAGATATATAGAGTAGTAAAAAGCTTTTTTTTTTTCTTTAATGCATGTTTACATACAAAGTCACATCATTATTTAGAAAATATCTATAGATTTACATTCATGTTAAAATCCACACGGATAGCAAAAATTATAACTATTACCAAGTTAGTACATGGGATTCACTTTTACAAAAATTAACACCAGAATAACTGGCCAAGTGCTCTTCAATTATATATCTAATTAATTAATTATAAATCATAAGTTGAAAAAAATTAACAGATGTATTTTTCAAAACTTGGCTATTTAAAGATAAGCAACCTTAGTGTACATTGATCAATCATTTTTTGTTACCAGTAGTAACTGTGCAATTACCTGAATGTGCATAAAAAATATCCCAAACACCAGTAGCACCAGCATGTGGATCATGTACACTAGGCAGTTCATACTTTCAAAACCTTCCTCTTTCAGTTTATCTTTATCCAACTTCTTGCTGTACATCAGTTCTGGCAACAGTCCTAAGGTTAAACTGTAAAACCTGTTATGTCTGATGTAACGGAATGCTGCACATATACAGAGAAGGACCATAGGTAGGGCCAGAACAAAGTTTGGGAGTTGCTTGGTCTGGTAATACCGCATGAATCCCACACCCCAGTGATGAGACTGGATATAGGAATATGACAGAGGAATGAAGTGTGTGCACCATTCAGGATTAGTATCTGTAGGTAACACGTAATGTTGTTTTCTTCCATAGTCATAAATGAATCCAGGTATACTGAGGGACTTTCCAGAGTCAGTGCAATACATTTGGTATGCATAGTATTGGTAGTATGCAAAAGGAGCTATGCAAATCAAAGCATAAATTAACATTGTGGGGAGTAAAAAATAAAGAGAACTCAAAATGAGGATAATGCTGTTGCTTTTGCTAGAAAACCTCGACCTTGGAAGAAATTCAAGAAATACTCCCAGTACGTCTTTAAATCTTTTATAGAATAGGATGCAGGCAGAGACCAGGCCATTTGATCTTACAAGTGATGCCAGTCCAAAGAAGAATGAACACTTGTAGTTATCCTTTTTTTCATACTGTATCATAGCAGTAAATCCTAGCCAAGCAAACATGGCTTCTGAATATGGTGCAGTAAAAAAAATGCTGGCTGGGTTGATGCAGTACAATAAGGCCCCTTTATATGCAAGAGCTTCATTATTTAGCACCTTCCCTCCGAGAGTGTATAATGCTCCAGCTGATTTCACAAAGCAGTATAAGTTGACAATAACAGCTGTGACAAGGAGGACATTAGCCTGACACATAAAAAATGTTAATGGGAAAAACAGTGATTTTGACAAATATTCTACCACCTTGGGAAACAAGGGGAAGAAAGCAAGACAGTTCATATACGTATAACCATGCTCTGCTATATGAAGGAAATAGATCCCATCCCATCTTCTGAGTCCTCCCAGTAAAAAGTTAATCACTTTATCTCCTGGCATTGCATGACTCTTTGGCAGAGGTGGATTGAATACTTTTGCATCATGGTCTGGAAGGATATAGTTGAAAATCATCTGAAACAGGTAAAATAGTAATTAATAATGCATAACAAGCTCACTGAGAATTTACCAGTTCACAAACTGGCTATGGGTCAATTGTTATTTCATTTCCACAAACTAATACAGTAGGTTTTATATCATTTGAATGAGAATGGCATTGCTGTCATTTGCATTATGGTTTACTTGACCTGAGTGCACAAAATAAACGAAAGCCACGTGTTTGTGGAGACGTAGGGAAGGTTTGAATGCATCCGTGGCAGTCTACAATTACAAAGAATTGCACGCTGTTGGAGAATACGCCCCCTTCCTAAATGAAAACATATTACACACATTACTGAGAACAAACTTGCAACTACTGCCACTGGGTACTAATACTTTGTCTCTCAAGTCCAGTCCTTCCTTTCATCACAGTAACAAAAAAGGACAAGTATAATAATCCACTTTTGGCTGATTTTTCCAGCTTCGTTTTATTCAACCTATCCATTAATAAAAAACGTACTTACCTGCAGAAGTAATAACAAACATCGAGTAAATATAGCAAATCTAGTTACTTTGCTCTTCAATGACAGCGCCATATTGCAAATATCAGTATCAAAGGTAATAATTGGTGAAAACCCTAAACACATGTTAAACTGCAATTGATTGGTCAGATAGAAACCAAGTCAAGGTCGTCAAATGCAGGACAAAGAAAATTCACAGGTATGATTATAAAAAACAGGTATAAACATTACACTAGTAACAGATATAGAAAGGGCAGTGACTTAATTCGTCAACTTATAGGTTAATGCTTATTGCTTTGGAAAAGAACGCCACCCAACCCCATATTACCGTGGAAAATACCGATTCAACCAGGTTCACTATGCATGGGTAGGCAAAGCTTCCAACTTTGTTGTACCACGGCTAGACTGATGCACAGTCGTAATTTTATAGAATTTAATTGATAAATGCAAATCGCAAACTATTAAGTGCAATATCTTTTTGTAGTTTTATTTAAAAAAAACTTTTCTCATTAGCAATTGTAAGAAAGTTCATAGAAAAGGTTCATGTTGTATGTTTGCATAAATTTTACACTTACGAAAAAGTCCTATAGGATCCTATAAGATCCTATAGGAAATTGGCCCAATTTCCTATATGATCTTATAGGATCCTATAGGACTTTTTCGTAAGGGTATCTCCACTGTATGAAGTGTATGATGTTTGAGATGAAAACAGCGACCATAAAAGGGTTTTTGTGTTTTATTTCTTTTATTTAATGAGGGAAAATTATGGTAATTCTAACATTACACTGTTGGGACATGTTCATAGATGGTGGACTCTCTTAGGCCAGAGTCCCATTTTTATAGTTTTGATAATAATTGCCTAATTCGTGGTTGCCTGTTTTGAGACATAGCCTTGTCTTATTTGATAATTAATGTATCGCTTAAGTTCGTTTTATTATTTTTGTCCAGCGTCTCACTTTTAACATTCATATTTAACTTGGAGATAAGTATAGAAGAAATTTTGACTATAGGACCAAGAACATCTGCAATAAGTATTAATTGTGAAAAAAAAACATTTCTCATTATATTTTGTATTGATAAAACTGTAGACCAAATTGTGTATTATTTGAAAGTTGAAACTTTATGCATCTAGATCCAAAATCATATGTTAAAACATATATATCATCATCATCATCATAGGTTTTGATTTGGAGAGTGATCTCCAAAGACTTGGAATGCCAGGAATACTAGGAAGATATGAAAGGAAAAGGTAAAAGTGGACATTCCAGTGGACATATTGGAGGCAGTGGTGGAGAAGTATTGAAAGATTGTCCCTTGCAGTTCCCAGATCTTACTCCTTTGGATCACACCAAGTATTGTCCACAATATTCAACAGGTACTTATCACCCTTGAGTCTTAGTTTTAAATGCTTCATCCAGAGATAAATTTAACATGAATAGTTAATATATAGTAAGATTTTACAGTAAGCTTTAACTGCATTTTAAACATAGTTCACTTATTATCCATTCATGCCCACTAAAGATTTCAAATGTCTGGGATAATAAAATGTGATGGGATTGTAAATTTTAATAAAATATATTCTTGTAATTGTATCATTATGCACTACAGTTTATTAATGAGTCATTTATTTGATCATAATTTAGTCCTTGCAAAAAGCGATGATGCCACAGTGGGTTATGGAGAACTAGACTCATTACAGCCAGAGCTGGAGACTCTGCTGTCTTCTGTAGCAAAAAGGATGAGACAGTTGGAGAATGAAATCCAGATATTGGTGAACTGGCAAGAGAAAGGAAAGGATAAGAAAGGTGGAAAGTTTGTAAGTTACAGTATTATTTCATACATTTTTACATCATGAATTTGGTTCCTCATCTGATGAGAATGCTGTAGACACTTTGTTGAAAGTAGTATAAGTTAATTTACTAGTAATTTTTTTAAATAAAGAGAGCATGTTTTATGTTTCAATTATTATGTTCTGTGTCACTTGGTTTACAAGAGTGAAAAAAAGTTTGTTGAGTGATTATTATTGTGAAACACTACAAAACAATAATTTTAGTTCTGAACCATTTATTTGATGAAAGATTTGCATGGTTATTATTTTGGAAGAATTGTAATTGATTTAAGTGTACATTTTGTTTCCATTGTAGCAACAGCCACCAATGCCTAGTCCAGCAGGTAAGAGGGGGAAGGGAGGGAAAGGTGGAGGTATTCCCACATCAGAGGAAAGACCAAGTAAGAAGTTCAAAGAAAGCAGTGGGAAGGGTTCCCTTGTCTCCACTCCTGGGAGACCGCCAAAAGGGAAAAACATTCAGGTTAGATCAGTTTATATCACATATAATTTCTTTTACATATTTCTGAAACAAAAAATGCTATTTTTATAGCATTAATGGCCCTAAAATATTTGATATTCTGCAATGCATACAGTTTAATTCTCAACTTACTCATATTTGTAATTTTTTTTTCAAAATTTCATTGATTAAAAACTATCAATGATGTATATAGTTAATACATTTTCTATACCAAAGACATAACTGAAAATCTTCTTAAACCCCAAATCGTGTAACTGAAAGTCATCTATGATCCCAAATCATGTCTCTGACCTGCAGGCCAAAATGCAAGAGTATGAGTTTGTGGATTCACCCTTGGAGCTTCCCAAGCTCCCCAGAAATGATGCTCCAGACCGGTTCTGGCAGAGCCTGGAACCCTATTGCTGTGATATAACGCAGGAAGATCTCAAAGTACTGGAGCAGATCCTTCAGTCTCACGAGGACGATGCTGAATACTACAAAGTGCCAACACTGGGAAAGCATTATTCACAGAAATGGGCCCAGGAAGATCTAATTGAAGAACAGAAAGAGGGTTAGTGATAATAGCTTTGAAAACTGTGATTGAAGAGCAAAAAGAAAACTACTTTTAAAAAGTCACTGTCTTTTAAAAGCTTTGATTCCCATGAGAATTACTGAACAAGTCACTGATTTGAGATTGTGAACAGCATTAGCGGATATTGCTTTTTTGTAGCTTAACAACCCATGGGAACACGTGATTTGGATACTTACGTGGAATTTGACCTTAGAAAGTTGGCATCTGTTCTATATGGATGGACATGCATATTAATAGCAATTGATTGTAACTTTTGGTCAAAATAACAGCTGTAATTCAGTTATTGCTTGTAGTAATTTTGAACTAAGATGCTTTTGTGATTAATATACAATTATTTGATTTATCAGACATTTCTAAACTCTAAAGATTAGTAAGTATTGCTAAAAAGAACAGCAATAATGACAATGTGAGCTGGTGCAGCAGTGTTAAGAATGTTAGTCTATATTTCTGCCTTGTTAATGGCTTAGATTTGGTGCTTTTTCTTAGAAGTTTGGCACAGGGTATATATAATAGTATCTTGTGGGATTTAATACATACACTTCGAACAGAACTTTCATAAACAAGAGGTGTATTTTCCTCATTCCAGGAGTGAAGATCACGGAGCCCAAGAGGAGGGGTTTGAGCAATCTCAGTAACAGTACAACTCCCAACACACCAGAGGTCCATGCTCTGTTGAAAAAGGCAGAATCTGTGTAAGCATGAGATAATGAAAATTGTTCACAATGAATAAGTTTAAGTTCACAAATATTTAAAAAATCAGTGTTGGTGAACTTATTGCGTTATTTTTTTTGAAAATGTTATTTAGAGTAAGGTGATTTTCTTCACAGTGAGCTTTCTGAAGAGTCATCACCATTTGGTCCCCTAACACAGAGACTGGTTCAGGCTTTAATGGAAGAAAACATAATGACACCCATTGACGATTCCTCAATGTCAGATATTGCAGGAACAGGTAGGGCTTGGCATTTTGGCATCCTTTGAGAGACATATTAATGCTACCCAGTGTATTAAAAGATCTGATTTATTTTCCTAAACGTAGTACGTAGTTGATGTAGTTTCCAAATTCAGTAAGTCTGAGAGAAAAAAAACTTTTGAAGTTTATGAATAGAAAATATAGAAATCTTGTTAAAAATGTAATTTGGACCATTTTAGATTCTGAAGCAATAGCCAACATGTCACCAAGAGCCCTTGCCAAACAGCTGAATATAGGAAACACGGCACAGCTTGAGAGGAGAATCAAAAGAGAGCTGGAAGAACAAGGTATAAAAATCATCATGATGTTTTATATTAAAAGATGAAAACTGGTAAAGATGTGTAAAGACTGCATTTTTGTGTAATGTTTGTTAGATATCATGAAATATTCATATTTTGATTTTAAAATTTCACCAGGTATATTAGAGGCTGATGAGAGACCAGAAGATAATCCAGATGATGAAATTCTGTCTGAATTGAGAAGAAAACAGCAAGAACTTAAGGCAATTGGCCAGCATAATCTTGTAGTAACTAAGAGACTGTACAAATTAGCAAAGGAAGAGATGTCAAAGCAAGATCTCAGGAAGAAGTTAGCTGCGGTGGATGCAGAGGTATCGCCTTGTTTTTCAATTAATTTATACATAATTTTAAGAGCTTTGTGTTTGAATTATGAGAGAAGAAGCACATCCAACTGATAATAAGTAGATATGGCAGTGACATTTCAGTAAAAATATTGTTGTCTGTAAATTCTAGATAATGGAAGCCTACAGAAAGGTCCAGTCAACAAGAATAAAGAAGAAAACTCCCACCAAAAAGGAAAAGGATGCCATGTGGAGAGCTATCAAAGAGAGAGAACAAATTTTGAAAATCCTTAATACTTGACTCTGGTGTGTAACTACACCAAATCTCCTGAATTTTAATGCCAAGATCATGGATGCTGAAATGTAAACAATTATAATTATTGACAAATGACAAGTTCACTGTATGTTTTCCTTAACTGAAAGTGTATTATGGCATTTTGATATTTGAGAGTGACCCAGTTAGCTCCTTGATGTAAGAAAGAGAATAGTAAGACTGTAAGTCCATCAAAAGTTGTTAATTTTCTTCTCCTTTCAGTGCTGTGGATAATAAGGTTAATGCTCCCACATTAACATGCCCATGAGTAGACAGATGTGATTAAACACATTTGATGTAGTTGTGTCTGCACACCTTCGCAGTACTTATGTTGTCTAAGCATTGTGTAACACTTTGTTAGCTCGTTGTACATTCACACACATTAATATATATATTCTGTATGATACTTTGTCATAGATATGATGTAAGTAATGTAATACCAATATTTTTGGAGTTAAATGGTGAAGTCGTTAGAATTGCATATTAAAATTGAGCATTTTCAATTATATTGTTTCTACATTAGTAGTAGAGAATTCAGATTGAGTGTATGAGGTTAGTATTTTTAATTTGATATTGACCCTTCTTATTGTTTATTAGTATATGATGAGATGAGATATGAATTTATTCAACCAATAAATGTATAAAAGTATTAGTATCAGCCATCATTTTCCTTTGTAAGCTAGAATCTAAAATAAGGTGAACTTAGCAAAGTATTTGTGTATTGGCCCGAAAAGTGGAATTAAAAATTGATGCAGGGATAAAGCTGCTTATTAACTGATAAAAAGTGCAAAGACCTATACCTCTTTTTTGTCTGAATATAAAAAGAGTTGACTGAGACTCTTATTTATTTTTAAATGTCTCTCTCCCCCTTTAACGGAGCAATTTGACAGGTAATTTTGCAGGCACTTTAAAAAAAGTCCAAAGGTTACTAAATAATATCCATATTAAAAAATAATTTCACTGGATCTATGCTGAAGAAATATTCATTGGTAAGAATAAGAAACTTATTTACTTGTAATCCTGTTGACAGTTCTTTATCTTCCAGCCCCGAGAGTAACAACAAGAAGGGTGTGAGTAACAATATGAGAGGCAAAAAATTAATGACAACCTTCAGTTGTGAACAACTCCAGATGAGGTCTAGACAAAACTGTCAGCAGGATTTCAAATAAGTAAGGTGCTCAACAATGAGTTTTTTTTTTTCAGTATAATATTCATGTTGTTAACTGTTAATACTTGAAGGCAAGATGGTTGATATAATATATTGAGTGAACACGCAATTCACAGACTACATACAACACCTGGACATAAGTCCTCATAAGTAAGTAATCCTTCTGTATACTAAACATAATGCACTTGAACGGTGATTACATGGTTTTACATGTGCGTATAACAAGAATATAGAACCACCCCTGTGTAAAAAAAAAAGAAAAAAATTACTGCTGCCTCCTTAAAAGCATTAGTGTGAAATACTTCAAGGTGCTACACATGTAATTATGTGCCCATTGGCCTACATTTGAAGCTTTGTAGATTTTTCCCAACGTCCATGGCAAAAAAAAAAAAAAAGACTCTTAATGATGTCATTTATAAACAACTGTCGGCAGCTTGCCACTCCTCGGCATACGTGAGCAGTGTCATTGAAATAGCGTCTGTTTGCTGGTGGCACAGGTGGAATTTTACTAGACTCCGAAACTCGTGGTAGGATATGCCAGGTGGGTGCGTTTCAAAAGTCTGAAGGTGTCTTTTAAGCCTAGATTACATTTTAAATGCGATGCCCGTACGGTGCACGTATACTGCTCGTAATACCCTTTTCGTACGTCGTCTGAGCGGAGGTAGACGGTGGCCGTGCAAAATACCACGGGATCGTACGGGTTTAAGGCCATGTAATGAAGACATACTCTGCGTAGCCCGTAGCTTCTTACGATTTCAGAAAAAAAAAAAAAAAAAAAACCGTACGGACAATTTCGTCGCACGAAGCCCGTGTAAATGTAATCTAGGCTTTACGGAAGCTAGACTGGTCCTAAGGTTCATTGGAATCTTTTTTAAATGATTATCTACATTGCTCCACAAATTCAACAACCTGAAATCTATTTACATCCAATATTTCATTTTACTTTCAAATTCTGTTATTTTAGCTTTGCCCTGTTATAGTTATCTAAAGTCATAAATAGTAATCTACGTAGTTTGCTTTTGCTTCCTTTAAATCATGTAAATTGTATTGTGATTTAATTCAGCCGCAACACTAAAATTGGAAATGAAGTTATATGTTAATGAAAGCTGAAGTAGGGGGCCTTAGAAAAACTAACTTGAAAAAAATCACAATATAAGAAAACATTTTTGTCGCAGATTTTTTTTTTTCAAATCACGTCATACTATATCACAGTAAGCAAAACTTATTATAAAATTGTTTTGAAAACAATATTTGCTGTTTTTATCAGGCTTCATCGGATAATTTTCTTTAAGTGTCGCACACCCAGACTTCGATACCTTAATAAGAGAACTTGATTATTATGATGCACAAAATGGTATAAACTGGTTCTCCTCAAATGTGGAAGCGAACCTGAAAAATTCCAAGCTATTTTTATTGGTAAAACAGTAGACAACCACAGTAACGAGCAATTACCTTTCAATGGAAAATTGGTAAAACCAGAACCTTGGGTCAAGCTCCTTGGGGTTTACTTTGGGCGCATTCCCATAGATTTTAGATCGATCTATCCCCGTGGGGAGTCTCACTAGATTACTGTCAGATAATCCGGCTTAAATGTCCGTCCCGCCCAGGGAGTTAGGTCGATCTAGTAAGATCGATCTAAATCTCTGGAAATGCCCTCTATGACCCCATTTCCAGAGATTAGATCGATCTACTTCAGATCGACTTAACCCCCTGGGGGTTCACGCTAAATAGCTGTCAGCCGGGAGGACACGAAAGTTAATTACCCCCTTACAGCTTGTAGTAGGCGGGACAGACATTTAAGCCGGATTATCTGACAGTAATCTAGTGAGACTCCCCGCGGGGATAGATCAATCTAAAAGCTCTGGGAATACAGCCTATGACTCAAGACTGACTTTTAACTAACACATCTCAGAATTATGTTCTAAAACAGCATGTCAATTTTAAAAACACTCTGAAAAGACTTTTAGCTTATATCTAGATGTTCCAAGTCGGCTTGTCATATTCAGGCACTTTACATTATCAAACTTATAGCAAGAATTGCGCTCCGAGAAATTGTTCTTTTGAGGCAGGTTCTGGACACATATGAAATTGGTCGATGTCCACGACATGGTATCGTTTAGAGCTTCAGCAGGCGTGCCGGACATCTAAGCCGCATAGGCCCCAGGGTCGGGCCCAGGGTCGGGGCAAGTTGGCCCCCCTATACGAAAATGAAGTATATATCCCATATAAACGCCTTGAAATACTTTTTTTATACATTTTTAATTTATTAAATTGATTTTTGAGAGTCTTTGATGAATAAATAGTTCAAATGAGGCAGATTTATTGAGGTTTCCGTACGTCACGTTGTGGGGGGGGGGGGGATGTGTTGCAAGAACAAAAAAATCTATCAATAAAATTTGTTTTGTTTTAATTAATAATAAATTAATAATGTTATAAAGCAGGTTTTAAATGAATGAAAACGAATAATAAATTTACGTTTTAAAAGAAAGTAGCAAATTCAGTTTTAAACCATTGAGTTTGTTTCAACAATGGGAGGGGTGGAAAATCCCCTTGGGGCCACATATAACACTATAAATACAATAAAATCACCTTACAATGAATTAAGGCAAAATAAATGTTTTTCTAAGGAAAGTCCAATGGATTTGCTTTCTAATACATACAATCAACAGAACATTTCTTATATAAATTTTCGAAAAGACACCAGAGAGCAAATTAAAAAATAATCAATCAGACGGTAAACACCGGCAAGCTTTGTCAATGTCACCAACTTGTTTATTTCAAGAAGTTACAACTTCTTGTTTATTTCAAACAGCGTTGCGCGCAAAGGATTGTGGGTAATATGAGGGTCCAACTTGCCCCGAGTCAAGGGGGCCAACTAGCCCCGGGTGCACATTATTTATTTTAAGGGATGGCAGCCATTTATGGTGCTAGAATGAGCAACGATGATACATCTCTGTGAAACTTGAAACAATGAGCTTCAGTTTGATGCCCTATAGCCTACATATCTTATATTCGATCAAAATCCTATGAAAATAATTTTTAAATCTCTTAAACAAAATTACTTTTAGGTGCAAAAATAGTTTATTTGGACTCACCGCTTAATTAAAACTTTTTAACGGCCGACACTTCCTTAGCATTGTAGGCTACGGTCACTTTACAAGAGTATGTGGCCAATTCTTTTACCTCGTAGTTACTTTTTCATAAAATGACGGGGGCCCAACTTACCCCGGGGTCCAACTAGCCCCGGTCTCCCCTAAGCTGAGAGCAATTTAGCGAGAAATCCCTTGGCGAGGGATCGATCCTGTGAGATCGATCTGGGTATGAGAACCCAGTCTATAAGAATTGATAGGCCTAAATGTAAAGTCAGGTGTGTCAACTGACTACTTTGTCTGAAGCACTGCTGCATTACGATTTCCTTGTCTAAAACTCATTGGGCTGCTCCAATTATGACTATGACAGAGCATGCATGGTTCAGTCAAAAAAAAAAAAAAATCAATATTTCGACAACGACTGCACAGTAGATTTCGAACATAGGCTACTGACTGCTTCGATTTCCAAACAAACGTTAATTGTTACTGTACAGTAGGCCCTATTTGGCCACATTAAACCATTAAACAGTAAAATCGCCAAATTAAGTAGCCTACCCTGCTTCGTGTCGTAGGGGCGGATCCAGGCCCCCGTTCACAACTATCAGGACTATCTGAAGGGGGTTCCGACCCTCGCCCCCCCCTCCCTTGGCGTGGGGTTGGGGGGCTCACTCAAGGGCCCCGGAAATATTTGGTGTTTTGGAGGGCAAACAGTGCTATTTGGTGTGATTTAGAACTATGATTCAGCTTGTCAAACTTCCCATTTTAAGAGGGGAATATAGACTTAAGTGTGATTTTTTTCAAAAACCCCAAGGGGGGGGGGGGGGGGGTCTAGCACCCCCCTCTAAATCCGCCACTGGTGTCGTGCATGGACAAAATAATTTTACTGGTCTGGTAAGGCGTTAGTGTTAGATCACACGGTTGTAACCTTCACCGGCCTACTTATTTATCTGCCAATATGTAGACCTAAATTTTAGTAGGCCTATAATAAGACCGTAATAAATGCCAACTTTCTTCAAAATCGGTAAATTGTAAATGTCTCGGCAGTTACACTATGACACTTACAGATACGAAAATTGAAGGTGTTTTGGTAAATCTAGGTTTGCAAAAACTCTCTAATTATGGTTGTGGTCACGCTCGGCTGTCACCTTGATTGGATAGTAAACGGTTGTCGTAAAATCGCTAAAAGATATTAAAACCCGGTGCATAAACTTGAAAACCACCTAGGACAACCTCAGACTGCCACATTAATCCAATACAATGCAAAAATAAACTATAACAAGTGGTTAAAGCCTTCAAACCGAATGTCGTAAAGTCCCCATATACCTCCATAGAGACAATAAAATAGAATAAGCTTCTGAAACAAGAAAAATCCAGTTCCAACATAATAATCGAAATAAAATACTGCCGGGCATCGGAGCGGCCTAAAACTTGGCACGCTTACCGCTAATACTGCAGGCTACATCATCCCGTCGCTCGTTTGTAAATTCCGTGCATGGCATACGCACAATCAAACCGTATATCCAAATTGCACCTCTGATGTTTGAATTGGTCCTCTCTACAATCCAATTCAGGAAATGACGTAACCGCAGAGGTCGCATTGTCCAATGGCATGGCTTCTTTTTCGTAATGGTAGGTTAGAGAGGACCAATTCAAACATCAGAGGTGCAATTTGGATATACGGTTTGATTGTGCGTATGCCATGCACGGAATTTACAAACGAGCGACGGGATGATGTAGCCTGCAGTATTTGCGGTAAGCGTGCCAAGTTTTAGGCCGCTCCGATGCCCGGCAGTATTTTATTTCGATTATTATGTTGGAACTGGATTTTTCTTGTTTCAGAAGCTTATTCTATTTTATTGTCTCTATGGAGGTATATGGGGACTTTACGACATTCGGTTTGAAGGCTTTAACCACTTGTTATAGTTTATTTTTGCATTGTATTGGATTAATGTGGCAGTCTGAGGTTGTCCTAGGTGGTTTTCAAGTTTATGCACCGGGTTTTAATATCTTTTAGCGATTTTACGACAACCGTTTACTATCCAATCAAGGTGACAGCCGAGCGTGGTTGTGGTTGGCATATTTTACGTCAGCCGTTACCTCTGAGCATCGACTGTTCTTGCACAGCGAAACGTCACGGGATCTAGGCCAGCCAGATAACATGGTAGTGTAAATAATATAGCACGTTCAAGTCCGCCTGGGAAGATTTTGTAAACCATGTAACACGTTCAAGACCGTTTATAACTCCAGGTACAGCATGAGTTGGCATTAACCATGTTCAGGATAAGGGACCGAAGGCACTTGATGCCAGCTGCGTCCCTGTTTAGAACATTGTCAAGTAAAGTTGGCAAACCGCAATATGTGGCCCCAGAATTACCAGATTACAATACTGACGTAAACATTCACCAACACAAGCTGAAGAGACCAGATCGTCCTCCCCCGTCATGGACAGGATTACAAGGCTTGAAGGAAAGAACGCAGGTACTGTGCATAATGAACAGTAACAGTCATAGGGTTAATTCCCAATGAAAATAGCGATCCAACTCCCTGGGGACTCTCGCTAAATGCAATCAGATTTTTTTTCTTCTTGTTGCCACGTACCAGTATAATCACCAACTTTTCTGTATTTTACTTAATGCCAAGAGGGGGCGTGTGTACCAGTTTATCTGACGGAATAAAAGCTGTGACCAACATTTATTTTAGATCTGTCAGTATTTGTTAAGTGATTTTTTTTCTTTCCAGGGTTCTCTGATACCAGAGACTCTAAAGGAAATGCAGGAGGACAAGCAGTTCCAGATCACAGCAGAACAACTAAAGAAATTTGGCCAAGCAAAGCTGACAAGGGATGAAAGGAAGAAACGACAAAGGGCTTTGGATCAGCTTGGTGTGCCTAGCTTTTTGGAGTACTGGCAGGAACAACAGCTCAGTAATGGAGTTCTGGGTTAGTTTTTTTTTTTTTTTTTTTTTTTTTCAAAATTTACAGTCTACAGTTTCAATATTTTCTTAAAACTGCTACATACATGTATGATTACATCTCATCTGTTCTTTTAAGATTAAAATTATGATCCTATGTGCATTCTCTTTGTAGATACTGAAGTGGAAAGAGATTTAAAGAAAGATGAAATAGAGATCATGCAGTTGAACATAGGAATCTACTGTAACCAAGCCTGCAACCACTGTCATGTAGAATCGTCTCCCAAAAGAAAGGAAATGATGACCAGAGAAGTAGCTGACAAGTGCTTGGATATCATGGCTCATTCCCCATCAGTCACCACTGTGGATATAACAGGTATGAGAATCAGAAGTTGAATATAACTGATTCAGAAGCGTTGCTGAAAATGGTTACACCATAATTACAGGTCATATCTTATGGCAAGGTTGATGTTTTGCACAAGACCAGAAATTTCACCAGATTTTTAACTTTGAAGTCAGTTTAAAGATTCTTACATTTTTTTCTACCTGTAGGTCATTGTGTTGAAATCTAGCTCTTTTTTCATTAAAAGTGCTCCAGAGACATAAACAGAAAACCTGATTGTTTTTGATTACTACCTGTCAGTTAAACATTTTCTTCTGTTAGGAGGTGCACCAGAGTTGTGTAGTGAGTTCCGACACTTAGTCAAAGGTGTGAGGAAACTGGACAGGGAGATCATTGACAGGTGTAACTTAACAGTCCTCCAGGAACCAGGTAATTCAGTGGTATACTGCAGTACCGTGATTGTGTTTTCATTTCCCATGCAATACTTTACACATTGTCATCCTTGGGAACTGTATGGGGATCCAAATATTCTGTTTCTGTCAACAAACACGAAACTGGTGGACTGAGAGAGAAACCTTTTATTGCCACAGCCCTTCTCCTCCTAAATAATTCTTCTTTATTGACTACAGTGGGGATAATTCTTGTGCACAAACATCTTTTACTCAGTTTTTCAAAAATTATGGTGCATTGAAGGAATGTCAACTAGATTAAGGAAATACTTCATATTAATCAAAATTATCCTTGGTGCCTGTCACCCTGTAAAAAACATCACACCTGTCCAATGACACTAGGATGGCGAATAGCATACAAGACAATAGAGAATAAATATTGTTGATCATAGTGCATTAAATTTGTTTTAGTGTACATTATGATATCACAAGCATGATGGTAGCATTATTTTCAGTCTAAGCTTTATCATTTTTTCATCTGTCTCCTATAGGTCAAGAAGATTTGCCAGAGTTTCTTGCAGAGAATGGTGTCCACATCATTGCTTCCCTGCCCTGTTATTCAGCCAAGAATGTGAACATGCAGAGAGGCAAAGGTGTGTTTGACAGAAGTATCCAGGCTTTACTGACACTGAACCAGGTGGGGTTTGGCAAGCCAGGCAGCAATTTGAAGCTAGACCTTGTGTATAATCCTCTAGGTTGGTACAACATTGTACTTCTGTTTTTAAAACTGAAATTAAAATCAGTGTTTTCAAATTGGTAATTTTGCATGTATTGGTAATAGTATGTTTGTATTAGTCTCATACATTGTCACTAACATCATAGTTTATTTCACTTGTAATTTTGCTACGTTTATTTTGAATAATGTACCATTTTGTTGCCACATACAGCACCTTTTGTTTTAAACTGAATTATTGTCACAAAAACCAACCAAATGCCAGCATATAGTTTCAAGTAGTATAACTAAGAGAATTACCAAAAGGCATTGTTTAATTTTACCGGAAAATGATGTTTGAATGGATTTTTCTGCTGGCATTCTATGCTGTATGTCAATGGGGCGGAAAAGTAGGTCACGAAAAACGGTTAAATTTCCGACCAAAAATTTAGGAGCAGTCTAAAGCTCTTCTATTGTTGATCGAGTGATTTATTCAGTTTTTCTTTTGGCATGTCGAATTCATTTGAGTCGTATAAGAAACTAGTAGAAGTGGTTTACATGTGTAAGTGGGAATCCATCCTCTACCGATTCTCGGTGCATATGTACCTTTAACAAAAAGGGCTTATTTTTGTGCAGGTGCTTTCCTTCCACCAAAGCAGTCTGAATTGGAAGAAAAATATAGGGAGGAATTGTTGGATACATTTGGTATAGAATTCACCAGTCTCTTTACAATGACAAATATGCCCATCAAGAGATTTGTGGACTTCCTATACAGAAGGTGAACTGTCCAGGATAGATAGAGTACCCATCCAATTTATAAGATTTATTAAGTCTAAGAATACCAGCAATTCATTAATTGAATTTGATGGCTATTTTGAAAGTTAAACAAATAGTTTATACCTGTATGCAAGCATTATTATCTATGAGTAGTTTTTTCAAGTCAAGGAGAAAGATGCTAAAATATATGTATATGTCTGTTGTAGGCAATAAGGTATGGGATAACCCAATCTTTCTGCTATTGCACAGGTGTCATATGGTAGTGTCACTTTTCAGAAATGAGCTCCAAGAGTACATGGATTTGCTGGTGAGGAACTACAACATCGCAACTATGGACAACTTAATGTGTAGAAATACACTGAATGTCAAGTGGAATGGAGATTTGTTTGACTGTGACTTCAATCAGCAACTTGAATTAGGAATTGTGCCAAAAGGTCAGTTCTGCCACCATTGACATTAGATAAGAGAATTTTTATGTACAGACACAGATGTGTCTGTACATATTGCCATCACCTGCGTCTGTCGTCGCCGTCGTCGCCGATGCCGATGCCGTCGCCGATGCTGTCGCCGATGCCGGCGCCGTGCACTTTCAGTGTTAACACGATAAGTGGAAGACAGTTTTACTTTTTGGCTTTATATTTACAGAGCTGATGAATATTCATAAAACGCAGGTCAAGTTCGAAAATCAGCATGATCGAGCCATTATTGTAGAAGTTATGCTGTTTTTTCACTTTTCAGCATATATACAACGCTGTTAACACATTTCAAGGAAAACCGATAGGCCTGTTGTCATGAAACTCACAGGAGCAATCAATCTTACTAAAATGCAGGTCAAGTTCAAAAATCGGCATGATCGGGCCACTATTTTAGTAGTTATGCTGTTTTTTCACTTTTATCATATATGCAACACTGTAAACACAATATAAGAATAAAAACAGATAGGCCAATTGTCATTTAAACTCACAGGAGTGGTCAATCTTACTAAAATGCAGGTTGAGTTTGAAAATTAGCATAATCGGGCCATTATTTTAGAAGTAATGCTGTTTTTTCACATTTCCTTAGATTCAATTCTTAGGCATGTTAACAGTTTCAGTATTTAATTAATAAGAAATGTAAAAGTGTTTGTTTGACATTTTCTGCATCTTTACAACATTGTTAGTTGATTTCTTAAAAATGATGGTAAACTTGTTATGGTGTATTGTGTAATTAAGTGTCAAAAATGGAAATAAACTCATATCATTGCAGTTTGTCAGATTCAATTATTCAGTATGTTTAGAATCTCAGAATGAAAGAAATTGGACATTTAACACTATTCTATTAATATTTTTCCCATCTCATTAATTTTCTTAGTTGATCATATAAAAATGGCATTAAACTATTAATTTTGTTTTATGTAAAAAAAATGTTAAAAATGGGGAAAAAACCCATTTCAGAACAGTGCTGTCTTGTTTCACATTTCCTCAGTTTCAATTCTGAGGCATGTTAACAGTCTCATTATTGAACTAATAACATATGTAAAAGTGTTTGTTAGCCATTTCCTTCATCTTTACATCATTGTTAGTTGGTTATGTAAAAATGATGGTAAACTTGTTCTCATGTATTGTGTAATAAAGTTTCAAAAATGGAAATAAACTCATAGCATTGCATTTTGTCAGATTCAATCATTCAGTATGTTCAGAATCTCAGAATGAAAGAAATTGGACATTTAACACTGCTCTATTGATATTTTTTCCCCATCTCATCAATTTTCTTTGTTGATCAAATAAAAATGGCAGTAAAATGTTAATTTTGTTTTATATTAAAATTTGTTAAAAATGTGAAAAAAAAAAAAACATTTCAGAAAAATGTGGTCTTGTTTAAATTTTGGCATTTTCATGTTGTGACTTTGAAGTTCCATGGGCCTGAAGACCTTTGCTAGTCACATTTTCTGAATATCCATAATACTAATATTTTTATGTNTGAAATGCAGCCTGAGTTGGAAAAGCAGTCTAATTGACTTCTTTTTCTGGAAGTTTTACATTTTCAAAGTGTGAACTTGAACTCCCATGGGCCTGAAGCTTTATGCTTGTTTCACATTTTACTTACATTGGTATTACCTGTTGAGCATAATTAAAATTTGATGTTGAATTTGCAGTTTAACATAATGTACTTTTGCATCAGAATTGACAGTAGCCTATTTTGTTATTTCCTGCTTTTTGTCTGTACATTTGACAGCTTTGCTGCCTTGTTTTTTGTTCATTTCATAACATTATGAATGTATAAAATATTATAATTCTAGAATAATACGTCAATACAGTGATTAATTTATTTTTTTAATTTAAAACAGAAAAAGAACCAAAAGTTGGAAAAACGACTCCACTAACAGTGTGGGACATCCATTCCATCGGTGAACTCAAAGGCTCCAGAATCTGGTTTGACAATCACTGTTATGGCTGCTCAGCAGGGATGGGGTCCAGCTGACAGGGAACAACAGTCTAATATCTGCACCAGATTACTGCAAGCCAACGATTCTGCTCAAGCAAAGCAAAAGAGTCACAATTTTCCAGAATTTTGCAGCGCACTCATGTGTGCTCTAGGGGGAAACCTCATATTCATTAGAAATGACATTGCAATTACACTGTCAGAGGACACGGACATGATGGGCGGAAACTTGCAGGTATTCAATGCAGATGCTAGGCTGCTGGCTTTGTTCTCCTTTGAGACTGAGAACATAGGTTCTGATACCAGTCTGTGGGATTTCTGTAATGATGCTGTACACTAAAATTCAAGGTGTACAGCTGATGAAGTGAGTCTAACACTGGCTGGCATCGTTGGACCCTTACGGTAAACAAACTGTATGATGGATTCTATACTCCAGAGTTGTGCTTTTTATCTCATTTACATGTTTATTATATTTTAAAAGTTCTCTTTTAATATGCAGGTATAACACTTATTGCTTTGAATTGTGCCAATATTTGACATTGTTAAGAACCCATAAACGCATCATAGTAAAATGAAATGATCAATTCTTCCTAGGCAAATCTTTTTACAGTACTGACCGATCTACGTATGGTTCAAGTAAAAATACTACGTCTTAGTGAGTTTATGATTATAAAGTTAAACTTATATGGTAATTAAAGTATAATATACCTGAATGTGTTTTATATTCTTTATTTCCCCCAGTCACACTTAGTGGACCTTCAACTCCATTCACTATCGAAGAGATGAAAATGAAAAATTGAAATTATATATCATTATAATTCCGCGTATCGTTCATTGTGGTACATTATTTGTGTGGAAGACGTGTGAGGGGCTATCGTTATGATGTGGCTTGGTGAATTTAGTTCGTCCTGATTCTTCGCTTCTCTAACACAATCCGTAGGTTAATTTGTTCAAGGGCAAATAGCTTGACATCGCTTGGCGTTTTCGTGGATCGGGATAAATGACGTTATTTCAGACAATATCGTGCTATTATATTTATCTGCTTTGCAAAATGTAAATTATTTAGATCTAGATGTTTTTTGAGAAATTTGCAATTTTAAAAAATCAAAATTTATTACTCATTTTGTCTACTGTTTTGAAATTTTCAAACTTGCATGTAATTTCAAGATTTCAAAAGAAGAAAGATGTTCAACACCAATAAAATATATTATTTAAAAAATGAAAAGAGTGAATGAGTAATTGGGTAATTCAATATTAAAAAGAACGTTTATCACTTTGCACAAGCTGATTTTCGTCCAAGAAACATTTTACTCACATACTACCCGACGTATAGTTTATTTTTCCCAAGCACTATTTATTTATCCACAGTTTCTTGAATAGGGGTCATTCGTCTTAATTATTTACATTATTTAAAAATGCTAAAAGATGAGAAATAACGTTCTTCGCCTGATGGGGACTTTGATGTATTTAAGATGCACTTGCACATTTACTATCGTTTCAACTATATGAGTTAACAGGTCATCGCACTCAGGACGATCATGACTTCAGTTTATGAGACTCATCACTAAAACGACATGTGTGGGCAAAAAATTTTCTTTCCAATTTTACGACTAGAAGCACTTCAATATGTCTTATTTGATGTCACTGAAAATGAAATTTTAACTAGATTTCTGCTATATTATCCGTTTTTAATATCTTCCTTTTTTAAGTGATAATTGATTCGTCTTGTAAAATTTCTTTGAGCTTTTACCTTCATTTTTCTGTAGAAGCGATTCAAAGAAATCAAACCATTGCTTATGATGATAAAAAAACTAAAACTTATTTAGGATACGAAAAATTGTGCAGCACGCAGGGCAAAGTGAATCATAGTAAACTTCAGATTTGATTAATAAAAACAATGAAAGACATGAACAGATCCTCGGTATTGTAATATTATCATCTGTCGAGTCCAGTCCGTTGGACGACCATTACAACCGAATACATTGATCTAATTGTGAAAATGTCCGCATCTTGTACTGCTGTTTATGGGGAGTTCGTACGAAAAATGATTAGGATTCATTTGCATTCTTTGATTGTTCTATCAGGAATTGGAAAAAAAAGACAACATTAACCTTCATTCGACCAGGTGGTAATGCTCAGATCAATGGTAATTGTCTAATGCCAGATTAATTAAGACTTGAATATGATATTGGGAATTTTGTACAAGGATCGATCACATCTTACTAATACAATTTATGTTGAACAGGAATATATCTGCAGCACGCTTTTTGTGCTGATAACTTCCCAAATAGTTAGAAATGTAAGGAAATTAGATTGAAAATGCAATAGATTATGTGAAAAAAAACAACAACTATTTTTTATCTTGTTTCAAATTCTTCTGCAATTTTTTTACTGACAACCTTGTAAAGGTACATCTCCATTCTTTACAGCATTTTCTTAAGTTTATCAAAAACAATTCAAGTTAAAATACAAGAATGTTCTGTCACAATAATTTAGCTGTTAATCAGATATAGTATAAAAAAAGTTTAATATAATATTGCGTTTCATAATTATACTTTTCATCCTTTTTTACTCAAATTCATGCGTTCGGTTTGATGTTGGATGATGTTTGACGTGAGAAAAATTCATAGTAGCAAATACACAGCTCGCTGACAAGCTTGGATGTCGGTGGAGTTTTAGCAAAATTGTGACCCATCATGACAACATCAGAGATATTAATATTTATGCATCCTTAAAAACTTCAAGATTTCCTCTGTAAAATGATGTAAAAATACTTCTGTAGCTTTTTAATTGTTTAAGTTATTAAGGTTTATAGCCAAAGAGATTAGTGGCAGCCATTTCGAGAAAAATTACAGGCGCTGTAAAATTGTCAAATTAACTCTCATTATCTGCTTGAATCCTCTAAATAATTCATGTTTGGCGAATTCTTTTGCCGTTTAGCTGTTAGAAAACCATTGATTCGTTCGTAAAATAGACTAGCTCTTTTTATGTCCCATGTCCTCCAGTGACCGAGACCAATTTTGTATTACTGAATGTTAGATCTTATCATCGTTGCAATAACCACTTGCAAGCACAAGAAAATATTGTATTTTCCCGTATCACCATTGAACTCAAAAAGGTGTACTTCAGGAAACACCATAATTTTATTGCAGTAAAGATATCAGACAAAAACAAAACAAATTAAATGAATATCCCATACTCACACGTACTTTAACATTTCTACATATCCATCTCTGTTCGCACACACACCGAGGTGCGAAAGTTTTTTATTCAAATTTATAAACATGAACATATTTTGCGCTCAAATGAGTTACATCTGATAACGAGAGGATTCTTTGTTAACTGGGGAACGTAAGATATTCAAAGGAGATTTAATCAGTAATTCAACGCTTAACAAGTGAATTTATTTACTTGACGACAGGTGAAACCAGCCCAGCCAATTTATAAATGAAAGCGGAGAGATTTAAATGGAATATTGAGACACAACTGTGTGCTAAACCATTTGCCGAGATAAAGCTTTAAAAAATGTCCTTGATTTTGTACAGCGATAAAAGCACGTCGTTTTAAGTAAAAACAGAAAAATGTTTATGCATAGAAAAATGCCAGTTTTCAAATTCTTTTCCAAAAAATATAAAAGAATATAATGTAAAAAATAATAACAAAAAACGTCGCGGCTCAAGTTATTAACAGGAGGTATACGATAATTAAATTTCTGATTCCACAAAGATAAGAAATAATTTACTGCAACAGCGCGTAACACCCCTGCATAACATGTAGAGTAGCGTACTGATTGATAAACCAATTAATTCGTTCTAGTAATTTCAAATTACACCTAGTGAAAACGGTCAATCAAATTCAAACGAACAGGTATTACGCAAAACAAAGCACGTGAAAACTTGATTATATATTGTCCTGCAATATATGGTTTTATGCAATCAAAACGGAAATGTAAATTGACTCTATTTACCGAAATAACCTGTGGTTCTTGTCTCGTGTTGAAGTGGAACGAAAAGGCATATTGGACTAGGTTGCTTCTGCCATGGTACACTGAAAGAATATTGAAAAACAAAATGGTTCTGTCAATCAAACAGACTAGAGGAAATGTATAAAGTAAAGAGATATCAAACTCCCAAATATGATGAAACGAGTGAATTTCAGCCAGTTACACCAGCTTTTACATTGAAAAAAAATGCAACATCATTTTAGGTAAATTTGAATAAGTGCTCAGATAATTTTGATAAAGCTAATATGGATTTTTATTATCTAGTCGATGGTTTTAAAATCAGCTTGTTTTGTTTTGTTTTTTTTTTTTTTTTCATACATTGGCAGGCGCATGTGTGGTATGTTTTCTGCATAACTTCATTTATTTTTTTCACGTCCGTATTCGTCATGGCAATTAAATACATTTAGCAGGGCTGTGTGTTTCTTTTAAGATGTTCTTCTGAGAGTTTGCTTGAGAGCCATAACTGCAGTTTAGTTTAATCATTTTAATGCCTAATCATCTTTTTTAGCTTAGAACAGAAGGAAAATAACTGCTCTAATGCTGTTCATTCGTCACACTAGCTCGACGGGTGATGATTTGACGCTATTAGCAGTTGTGCGTTTACCAAAAGTAATTGAAGGTGTCAGAACATGAAAAGTGGTTGAGGGAATGAAGTGGAAATAATAAAAACTTAGTTTTAAAAATATTTGAAGACTTTAAACGACCTACAGGACACTAGCCTAAGAACTGTCAGCAAGGATCCCACCTAAGCAGTATTGGTTTCAGTCATTTGCCAGCTTGATCATTTTAACAGCAGCGGTGCTGGAGAAACAATTTTTCAGTGAGCAGAGGCAATAAAACATGCGATATCAAATCGTTAAAATAATTGAAAAATAATTCACGGCAGGCCGTGCGGTGCAATGGCATGTGCGAGACGAAATCGTGACAGGTGGCGCGGCAGTTGTGACATGAGGACTCGAATGCGTCTCTTGGAGTGGAACAGAGGACGTAACGCACTGCACCTCGAGCTGCGACTTTCACACAGTCAGCTTGTGAGAAATTGAAGCTGAAATCAGACATCTGATCCGGCAATATCACACTTCGCCATTAATCTGACCATATTTCATAGGTTCTCTGACACAGTCTTTATATTAATAGACATTTACATTTGAAGATCTTCATTCACCATTGAAGTAATTTCGAGGTCATTCATACACTGTATATCTAAAGTGTATTATCTGATGTGAGAATTGTATGTGATTCGCCTATAGATCTATAAAGAAAACTTATCTCTCCCGACACAAGGAAGGAAAAACAAATACGTTTTTGTGTTGATTAAAAAAATCGAGGAAATTATGTATATTAAATCGCCTGTGTAAAGTCACGTTGTGCAAATTACTTGTGAATGATCCTCATAGCAATTTGGTTTTTTGTAGATATAACAGATCGATACATTTCCTATGCGTTGTTACCAGATATAATGGACACCTAGGCCTCCCACTGACTGGTATACCAGATAAACCTCTTCTTGTCTTTTTTTTCTTCTCTAAACTCTGGGGGAATGCTAACAACGAGTAATTTGGGGGAAGATTGGCCCGTGCCTTATACGATACATCTGTTCATGTTCTTCCCCCATTCGACAACTCCGAGTTTGGAAAGTTTGTGATAATTGGAAACAATTGCCCTTTCAGAAGCTAAATGATTTATCAACGTGTTATTTTAAATAGGCTT